TGTTCTATCTAGAGTAGGTGTTTCAGAGAGAAGCAGAACAGACTACACTATGCAGCATCAAGTACGTAAGCGCACTGTGCCAACAACTGCCAGTTGAACGGCTTTGTCTCCTACACAATCTTGACAGCGGTATAGTTAAGACGAAATTTGTCGGAATGCAAAGCGAATGGACTCGAGGCATATCCGAGACACCGTGCAATGTGATGGAAAGCACTGTGATCTACGAGGGTGCTCAGATCTTGAGGACAAGCTAACGTCAGTAGACTTCATGAAGTGAATGTAAGAACGCATGCAAGTCGTAAACCCTGCCCCATAGTTCAATCAATAGTAGGAAGCATAGTCGGCATGCTGAATGAAACGACTATTTCCTTCAGTAAATTCGCGAATAGAAACGAACGCGTGATTGAGATATATGATGGAAAGAAAGCAAAATACTCAAGAAAAGCAGTGTTCTAATGACCCAGAGCTTGACAAAGTTAACTGATGAGAGAATAGATTAAGGAGGAAAGAGGATGAAAACGACCAACGCTGAAGGACGTCAAAGAGAAGAGACCCAGCTGAAGGAAGTTGAAGCGAATAGCAAATACAAGTCCGTGAAATGAAATTCGTGATAATGTTTGCCTCGAATTACAGACGAGCATGGAGTGGGGCATTACGGTGACTCTACTTCGGGCGTCTGCTCCGATATTTCGACTCGGTTATACTTGCATGTTTGTAGCACTGATAGTCTGCTTATCGGCCGGCAATCACAACTACCAAAAGAAGTCAGTCAACCGCAAGGCCGTCTCGGACGTGTCCTCGCTTAAGACGCCTGACGCCTGAATCTGTGACAATTTGCTGGCTGCTCTTGCGATGCTGTATGCTTGCCCTCGTTCGCCTGTCGTCTTGCCGTTCATTCTCTGCGTAATGCAATAATCCGCGGGGATTGAAATGCTCGCCTGAATCGACAACTGTCTCCTGGATGAGGCAGGACTACCCAAGTGATGATTCAATGTAAATCAACAAAATACCCAACTGACTAACAGATGACAGCCTATAGAATATGTCTTTTAATGTCGCTTTCTGACAGATTGATACATTGGATACTATTTTCTGGAAAAGTCTGCTGTCTCGTGCGAATTTGCTTAAAGCGCACGTTTGCCTTCATTGCTACTGTCTAAATGAGGGACCATTCCGGATTTAGAAAACTGTATCATTTCCTTAGTGCTTGTGACACTAGTGTCATTTGGCATTTGGGCAGGTGGCTTAGAGACGAGAAGTTGCAAACCTCTACTGTGTGAGGGAATTGGCACAATTGTCTGTGCATTTAGGACCACACCGTGCAGTGCGAGATGAGAAGAGCAAAAGATGTGGAGCAGATTGCATGCTAAAATAGTCATTGCTGTCCAGACATTATAAGACGTAATTTGAAAAGAAAATTTCCAGTAGTATGTAGCTTCATAGAAAAAATGGACACACATCGTACAATGTACATGTAGGTCTGCTTTGCCAGACATTGGCCAAATGCAGGCAAACAGGACTAAGGAGACAGGGACAATACCGATTTCCGTTGTGGGCGTTTGCGATTGCATCATGTCGGCTGTGGTTGATGTGGGGGATGTGGTCTCCTCCTCGTCGACGTGGTGCAGATCTGAAATGAACAAGAGGGATCTTACTGGTGCATGCGATAGCCTATTTGATGCGCAGATGAGGATGATGCATTTGTGGTTGCCTGATATGACTGACAATGCTGTGTAAAACGCAGGTAGCTTGATTGATTTGCTTGAAGTGAGACGCAACTCTGGCTGTTAATGAGCGAGTATTTGATGTTGATATGTCCAGTTGTGTGTTTACTTGATAGATCTATTATGTCGCTCATTTGCTTGCACGTGTAGACGACGGCTATCGTTCATTAAATGACAATCGTCTCTCACCTGCTCCTCTCCCAATATAGGCTCTTCCTACCGGCCAATCTCCGGCAGCCGCCTATAACTCTGAGTGTATCACTGAGTTCATCACAGCACACGACAACTCCACTCTGCTACCAAAAATCATGTATCTACACCAAGAATTCACACACATCATTCGTGTTACGTGTAGGTCTACATTTTCAGTCTTTGGCTAAATGCACGCAAACAGGGGTAAGGAGACAGTGGGAATACCGGTTTCCGTTGTGGGCAACTGCGAATGCGACATGTCGGATGTGGTTGATGGGGAGGATGAGGTCTCCTGTTCGACATCGGGCAGGCCTGAAATGGGCAAGAGGGCATTAAATAAGGCATTCGCTGAACTAATGAACAATATCAATATTAGCATCGGTTCTGTTCAATAAGACGTGCACAGAATTACACGGACGCCAATATAGTCCACCTCTATAAGCCAAAAGGCAGTCGTGGGCTCCGCGACAGTTACCGAGGAATCTCCCTGCCTGACATCGCCGGTACAAATTTAGCTCGCATTCTTCTCAACGGTCTAAACAACCATCCGGAATAAGGTCTCCTGCCGGGAATCCGGTGCGGCTTACGCCGTCAATGCGGAACCACCGACATAATTATCGTCGTCCGTCAGCTACAGTAAAAGGGTAGAAACATGCCGACCCACCTCTACTTTACCATCGCGCATTTGTCGAATGTCCTCGTCACGGTTAAACACGAAGGACTACGGAAAAATCAGGCCGAAATTCGTCCGGCCCGAATGATCCACATCAGATAGCGCGTCCGCCGCCGAACTACCACTGCCATCCTATCACACCACCACGTCTCCTCCTCCTCCTCCTCCTCCTCCTCCTCCTCCTCCTCCTCCTCTTCCTCCTCCACCACCACCACCACCACTACCGTCATCTATCGCCTCAACCTCCGCTGCGCGGCTCCAGTTCAGACTACCACACACCCATGTCTGACGGTCCAACCACGCGTCAGGCGACGTGTTTTAAGAGGATGCGATTGACTCCCCAAGTCAGTGCACGTAGACTGCCTACTTGTGAGTACACTTGTTGAGTGCAGACCAGTGGTTTGCGAGCCAGGTTGCAATGGCTACTTCTTAACGTGACATATGCCACACTCACGCATGTGAATCTATCACGGCGTGCTAAAAGACGTGGCTTGAAATTTTGCCGTCCGACGAAATAACTTGGAACTCGCTGTCAGCCCAAGCTTTGTGTCTGTGTGTGAACTGGTGGCCGACTGGTGGTCTAAGAGTGTGGCTGAAATGGCGGGCAAAGTGAGGTCTATAACTGCGGCTAATAGACATGAATGACGCTGAAATGCTAGAGCTGGATGAGGTCTGTTGCTGCAGTACGCGGTTAGGCTTATACAATCAGTACTGATCTGCATCAACGTGTGAAAGAATTTCCTCCTATCGTGTGAAGGCAATCAGCGCTAGACGGCCAGATATGTGTATAGTGGGCAAATGTCAATGTTAATGCGCTCCTCGAAGTGGCTCAACTCTTCTCCTCCATTTGGACATATATTCCTTGAGCCTCTGCTTACATATCCAACTAGAAAATTAAATAATGTGGAGTTGTCTGTTTATGCAGCCATGTGCTCGCTCCGATGACACTCATCATCTATAGGTCTGTTGTGCGGACCTTTGAAGTAATGCAGACGAACAGGGGTAAGGATACAGTGCGAATACCGGTTTCCGCAGTGGGCGTTTGCGATTGCATCATGTCGGCTGTGGTTGATGAGGGGGAGGAGGTCTCCTCCTCGTCGTTTTCGTCGTGGTGCAGATCTGAAACGGACAGGAAGGCTTTTACCGGGATATGTGATGGTCTATTTGATGAGGAGATTAGGAGGAAGCAATTGTGGTGGCCTGAAGTGTCTTGCAATACTCATTTGAAGACAGGTAGCATAATTGATTCGCATGAACTGGCCAGGGACATGACAGAACAGCGTAAATTTCTGCCAAGTTGAGAATAGTGCTAAAGCAGACTAAAAACGGTTTTCTAGTGTAAGCATTTCGTCATCAACACACTCCATACTTATGCTGTTGCACCGACTAACTACCTCATATGCCCACTGGTCTCGTCATACAATATATTGCTGGCCTACGTGACACGCAGTATTCGTTTTACGCGTCCGTCTACATCTTCAGTCTTTGGCTAAATGCAGGCAAACAGGGGTAAAGAGACAGTGCGAATACCGGTTTCCGTTGTGGACGTTTGCGATTGCATCATGTCGGATGTGGTTGAGGAGGGGGATGAGGTCTCCTGGTCGTCATCGGACAGACCTGAAATGGACAAGAGGGCTTTTACTAAGGCATTTGCTGGCCTAATGATCAAATCATTAATGGCATTGGCTCTGTGATATGGTATGAATGCTATCAGCGTTGAAAGGCAGACATCGGTCGGGTGAAGAAAGTGTCATGCGACAGAGGGCCGCGTTGGGGACTGACTGGAGGTCAGGAGGATGTGCAGAATATGTGAGACGGCGAACATTTCCTGGAGCGGAATGACACTCATGGGATCTGCGACAATCACCGAGAAATATTCCTGCCTGACATCGCCGGAACGATTTCAGCTCGCATTCTTCTCAGCGGTCTGAACAAACATCTGGAACAGGGTCTCCTGCCGGAAAGCCAGTGCGGCTACCGCCGTCATCGGGAAACCACCGACATCATATTCGTAGCCCGCCAAATGCGGGAGAAGTGTGAGAAGATGCCGACTCACTTCCGTGGCTCTGACATATGCCTTCGTCACGGTAAAACACAAAGGACTACGGAAAAATCATGCAGAAATTCGGCTGTTTCGAACGATCCACATCAGATAGCGCGTTCGCTCCTGAACCACCAATACAAAAATTCCTCTCTACCTCCTCCTCCTTATCCGCCCCCTCCTCCTCCTCCTCCTCCTCCTCGACAGCCTCCGTCCATCGCTTCAACTTCCGCTGCGCCGGCACCCGTTCAGACTACTACTTACACATTCCTCACGTTCGAACCACGTGTCAGGCGACGTGGCTTGAAAGGATGCTGGCTGTCTCCCCAAGTCAGTGCACGTAGACTGCCCAGTTGTGAGTACATTTGTTAAGTTCGAACTGCTGGTTTGCGAGCCAGGCGGAAACGGCTTGTAACAGCCTTTTCTCTGTCCCCTTGTTCTACTGTTTACGGACCACGGCTGCACTCGCTAACTCTGGGTTTGCACTCCCGTACACGCCACACTCCTGGTCGATAATTTGCCACTAACTTCGCGTGGACTCGGAGCCAGTCCCCGCACCTTTCTATCGCTGATTGGTTACAAGTGCACACACAGGACGCCGCCCTTGCGGACGTAAGTTTAAACAGACAGGACATAGGCAAGAAGGACACACAACACTTTTTTGGTCGTAGCGACACACTGAAGGCTCCGCAACTGACGCTCTCCAGAACGAACGCTTATCTCTGCCACAAGCATACAGCCATCTTACGGCGACCTGTCCTCTGTACAGAATAAACCCGTTCTCACAACTTTCTGGCTTCTGTCGCTAGACGGAGTGGTTTCAGTTGATCTCACGTCCTTGACCACTACAGCCTCCTTCTTAACGTCACGTATGCCACACTCACGCATGGGAATCTATCACGGTGTGCTAAAAGCCGTGGCTTGGACTGTTGTCGACTGACGGTATAACTTGGAACTCCCAGTCAGCCCAGTCTTTGTGTTTGTGTGTGGAGCGGCCAACAGATGGTCTAAGAGTGATGCTGAAATGGCGGGCACGGTAAGGAACACAACTGCTGGATTATGCTAATAGACTTATAAAATCAGTACTGATCAGCATCAACATGTGAACGTATTTGCTTCTACTGTGTGAAAGCATTTAGCGCTAGAAGGCAAGACATGTTAATGCTGTCCTCGAAGAAGCTCACGTTCTTTACTCCATTTGGACATATATTCCTTGAGCTTTACTTCGGTTCATCTGCTTACTTATCCGACTAACAAATTGAATAATGTGGAATTGTCTCTTTTTTCAGCCATATGCTCGCTCCGAGGACATTCATCATCTATAGGTTTGTTTTGCGGGCCTTTGACGAAAGTTAGGCGAACAGGAGTAAAAAGTAAATGCCAATACCGATTTCCGTTGTAGGCGTTTGCGATTGCATCATGTCGGCTGTGGTTGATGAGGGGGATGAAGTCTCCTCCTCGTCGTTCTCGTCGTGGTGCATATCAGAAATGGACAAGAGGGCTTTTACATGCGTATGTGCTGGTCTGTTTAACGAGGAGATTAGAAGGAAGCAATTGTGGTGGCCTGATGTGTCTTGCAGTGTTAATTTGACGGCAGGTAGCATGCTTAATTTCAATGAACTGGCCAGGTGACATGAAAAGATAGTGGCAATTTCTGCCAAGTTGAGAACAGTGGCAAAGCAGGCTCAAAACGGTCTTCTAGCGGAAGCACTTCGAATTCAACGCACTCCATCCTTATGCTGTTCCACTGACTAACTGCCTCATCTTCCCACTGGTCTCGTCATACAATATGCTGCTGGCTTCATTGACACACATCATTCGTTTTACCCGTCCGTCTACATTTTCAGTCTTTGGCTAGATGAAGACAAACAGGGGTAAGAAGACAGTGTGAATACCGGTTTCCGTTGTGGACGTTTGCGATTGCATCACTTCGGCTGTGGTTGATGCGGGGGATGAGGCCTCTTCGTCGTCGTGCAGATCTGAAATGGACAAGTGCGACTTTACTGGCTCATATCCTAGTCTATTTCCTTAGTTGCATTTACAGTCAATCTGATTTTCGTTTTGTCCCCTGAATTTTACTAAGTGCTTATTTATATTAATCTCCTTTTCGCTTTTCCCAGATTCTATTCTCGTTTCATTTGTGGACAGCTTACTTCAGCGTATCCCCTTTAAGCCACTTCTTTTTGAAAACAATTGAGACAATCTTTCCTTACCTGGACAACGGCGGGGCGGTCCGTATCCTAAAATGCAAAAAAGCGCTTTCATTACTCCCGTCCTGATCATCAGATTATTTTCGCATTTCTAGTTCTTTCATAGGCTCTATATCTTCTATTGTACAAACTCATACTTCATCTGCGTGTCTGACATTCAAATTCCTTTTCAGCATACAGGATGAGGAGGATCAATTGCGTTCGTAAATTGCTTACGAAAGACGGACAGTGCTTTGACAATTCAACTCATTTCCCTCAATTGGTGACTTCGGTACGCCGAGGACTTACATCTCAGCCGTACACATTGTCAAGACCTAGACAATGTCATAGGACTGAAGACGATGACATTAACTGAGAGGCATACAACCAAGAGAGTCCACAATCACAGCGTGCATGTTGCTTACCCCAGACAATCTGCATGGACATATGACTGCCAGGCGCATCACAGAAAATGTATTGGTCCGGATGGTACTTGTTGGTGTTGACATCCTTCTCAATCTTGGTGGAATAAATGATGACTTCATTGTCCACAACTCGTCTCTCTGAAATGTCAACAAACATATTCCCTCTAACTTCCACCTGTCTGCCAACAACATATTCCGCCCATTTCAAGCATATAAATTTTACCGCAGGTTTTTATATCAGGATTGTATTCACAGAACGTCTCCTTCAGACCGTAGATAACAACCTGCGAGGAAACAGCATACAGCATGCATGAATTTTCGTGTCATTGATTGAGTCAAATGCCGAACCATTAATTGTGCTTACATCTTCGCTGTTTTCACACATTGGAAGCCGGATGGCGCACTCCACGTTCACTGTAGCACTCTCGTTGGAATAGCGCAGAAGAGGCAGGGAATATTGCGGTTGAATGCATTCTAAAAGAAGAGAGCGAACTCAGACATCTTCCTGATTGCATGCAATTTCTCAAATGATCGGTATTCATCGGTATTCATGGCTTATGTAATGCCTGTTGACTTGCCTCCTCTGCTTCTAGACCAGCTTCCACCAGGAGTGATGAATTGTGTAATCAATGCACTTTCCCCATCGCCACCGTATTCAGGCCTTCGTCCTGTGCTTCGGAAGTTCGCCAATTCCCATGCGATGCGGAAGTAGGCTCGAGGACTGCAGAATTTTGCCTTTATTCTGTATTTCGATCCATCTGTAAATTGGCAAGTTGAATCTTTCGCAGTAATTATTTGCGGATAATACTGCGATGCATTGCATTCATAGGAAGTATGGTAGAGGGGTGCTCACCGATCGTCATTACGAAACTCACTCGTTCCGTTGTGACTTACGGGCTCTCTTTCTCTCGAGGTCAACCAGCAGCCGCACAGCAGCGCATGATATAGGCAGAATATTATTAACGACAAAGACCAGAGAGACTGGAATGGTCATTTCTGGCTTAATAGCCGTCGTCAACCACTCATACTCAACCCCGAATTGTGGAAAACCTGAGGATCGAACTCGCGATCTTTTAGTTAGTAGTCCAATGCCTCTTAACATTGGGCGACTGGTCTGTAGTCCTCTCGTTCTCGGTCGCGAATATACAATGGCAACGGGACGCTGACCGATCGATCTTACAGAATTCACTCCTTCCTATCAAGTCGGATGGCGGTGTGTGCGCGTGGCCGATAACGAAGACGAACGGGAACGAAGGCGAATGCCACATTTCATGCGGTTTTGATGACGCGACACATATGGCTGTGCTAGTACCAGAGAAGAAGTGCGACTAGAAGACTGACGAACAGACATTTGATGGCAACCCTGTCCTGTCAGAAGTGTCACTCAGCAGCACTGCAAAGATGACAACTGGGTAGGTGGGGCGGTGATGTGCTGCCCATCTCATAGAACATTACCGCACCGGCACAATTCGAGTTTGCGCATGATACTATTCAAGGTGAGGCGTGTGCTCTACACAGTGTATGTTGGCCAGTCATGCCAGTGTATATATGTGTAAGCTATATTTGCAAATTCGCCGTAGGCCAGTACAAAATTATACGGTTAGAAAATGAATTTGACAGGCAACATCTAAATCAGCAGAATTGGTAGGGAATTGCACTTACATCGATCTTGGGAGCTGGAAATTCTCAAATAGTTGTCGCCGCGAGATATGAAGTCACCGTTTTCATAGAAGTATGTTTCCTCGTCCAAAAATAATTTCTATTTGCAAAATAAGAAATCATATTCGGACATGATTTAGTCTAGGCATGGATGTTGTCGCAAGCCTACTCCTAAATTTATCTTGCATCGTCTAATTATATCGAGAGACAATGAAATTCTTTTGACTGTACTAAATTGCAAGAAGAATAATCCATGCAGTAGACAGTTCATCGAGACGGCCAGAGCATGCTGGTCAGGTAGAATGTTGCTGATGAAAAGCGGACTCCTCCACAAACACTTCGATGTATTCCGACTACGTACTCAAACACCTTATCAGCCTTGTGACAATGTCTAAATTTAAAATGGCATAAAGCTATATCACTGTAGTGGCCACATTGACTGACTGCGGTACAAGCATGGCAGCATTTCTAATGAGTGCCTTACCGTGGCATGCTCCGGTAAGAGCGCCTGGATCACAATGCAGTTATCGACCAAAGTAACCGTGTTGTCCTCCGTTCCGTTTGAGCAAGGCTCCGTTGGCGACTCGGAAGGATAGGGACCTGCGGAAATGTAACACACGTGTATAAGAACTTAATTCAGGCAGTTGAGCATTTAACGAAGAAGAAGAAGAGCAGATATGCGTGGGCTTAATTGGGGAAAAAGGGATCGAGTAGATTTCACACTCGGGTGTCACGACTTACTTAGTATGTTCTATCTAGAGTAGGTGTTTCAAAGAGCCATTTCTGCATGAGCCACCCGTATCTGCATTTGTCTCTGATGATGGGTTCGAGCAGAAATACGAATCATTAGGCTAATGAAGCTCTTGTCCCAGCGATCGTGTCTCCTTCTTTAAGAAAACTGTATCATTTCCTTAGTGCTTGTGACACTGGTATAACAAGGCGTTTGAACTAGAGGCTTAGAGAAAGAGTTTGCAAACCTCTCCTGTGTGAGCGATTTGGCAAAATTGTCTGTGCAATTAGGACCACGTCGTGCAGTGCTCCTGCTCCTCCTCCTCCAAAACCACCATCCATGGCCTCAACATCCTTCGCGGTGGCTCCTCTACTCACAACCACCGCACACATTTCTAAAGCACCAACTATCATCAACCAACAACAACAATGTCAACCATGCGGATCCCGTCCATGCCTGTCCTTATTCCATTCCCAACCTGCGGTAGACAACCGCCAGCCACGCCACACCCTGCCATCCCTCTCCACCTCTATCGAGCAACATCATCATCCACTACCACAAGCATCCAACTGCCACCTCCCACGCGATTGCGAATTGTATTTCTCCGCTCCGTTTCAATGCGACCCCTCTGTTGCATCTGTGATTTGAATCTGAGACTATCGTGACGCGTCAATTGATGTGGGCATGGGAGGATGCTGACTGTCGCCCCAAAGCCAGTGCACGTAGATTGCCTAGTTGTGAGTGCAAATGTCCGACGATGAGAGGGACGGCAATCGCCTATCGGCCCATGCAAACTCGTGTCGTCCTCACACTGAACAAGGTGGAAGCCCATATTGCAGTCCGGCGGCCGTCTGACATGTCCAAGTAGCCAGCCCTATGCAGCTATATGCTCGCTTCGATGACACTCATCATCTACAGGTCTGCTTCACCAGACTTTGGCTTAATGCAGGCAGACAGGAGTAATGAAACAAAGCCAATACCGATTTCCTTTGTGGGTGTTTGCGATTGCATCATGTCAGCTGTGCTTGATGAGGGGGATGAGGTCTCCTGGTCGTCGACGGGCAGACCTGAAATGGACAAGAGGGATTTTATTGGCGTATGGGCTGGTCTATATGACGAGGAGATTAGAAGGAAGCAATTGGGGTGGACAGATGTGTCTTGCAGTGTTAATTTGACGGCAGGTAGCATGCTCAATTTGAATGAACTGGCCAGGTGACATGAAAAGATAGTGGCAATTTCTGCCAAGTTGGGAACACTGGCAAAGCAGGCTGAAATCGGTCTTCTAGCGGAAGCATTGCGTCATCAACACACTCCATACTTATGCTGTTGCACCGACTAACTACCTCATATGCCCACTGGTCTCGTCATACAATATATTGCTGGCATACGTGACACGCAGTATTCGTGTTACGCGTCCGTCTACATTTTCACTCTTTGACTAAATGCAGGCAGACAGGGGTAAGGAGACAGTGCGAATA